TATAGTCTAGTCTATAGTCTAGTCTATAGTCTAGTCTATAGTCTAGTCTATAGTCTAGCCTATAGTCTAGTCTATAGTCTAGTCTATAGTCTAGTCTATAGTCTAGTCTATAGTCTAGTCTATAGTCTAGTCTATAGTCTAGTCTATAGTCTAGTCTATAGTCTAGTCTATAGTCTAGTCTATGGTCTAGTCTATAGTCTAGTCTATAGTCTAGTCTATAGTCTAGTCTATGGTCTAGTCTATAGTCTAGTCTATAGTCTAGCCTATAGTCTAGTCTATAGTCTAGTCTATAGTCTAGTCTATAGTCTAGTCTATAGTCTAGTCTATAGTCTAGTCTATGGTCTAGTCTATAGTCTAGTCTATAGTCTAGCCTATAGTCTAGTCTATAGTCTAGTCTATAGTCTAGTCTATAGTCTAGTCTATAGTCTAGTCTATAGTCTAGTCTATAGTCTAGTCTATAGTCTAGTCTTTAGTCTAGTCTATAGTCTAGTCTATAGTCTAGTCTATAGTCTAGTCTGTAGTCTAGTCTATAGTCTAGTCTATAGTCTAGTCTATGGTCTAGTCTATAGTCTAGTCTATAGTCTAGTCTATGGTCTATTCTATAGTCTAGTCTATAGTCTAGTCTATAGTCTAGTCTATAGTCTAGTCTAGTCTATAGTCTGGTCTATAGTCTAGTCTATAGTCTAGTCTATAGTCTAGTCTATAGTCTGGTCTATAGTCTAGTCTATAGTCTAGTCTATAGTCTAGTCTATAGTCTAGTCTATAGTCTAGTCTATAGTCTAGTCTATAGTCTAGTCTATAGTCTAGTCTATAGTCTAGTCTATAGTCTAGTCTATAGTCTAGTCTATAGTCTAGTCTATAGTCTAGTCTATAGTCTAGTCTATAGTCTAGTCTAGTCTATAGTCTAGTCTATAGTCTAGTCTATAGTCTAGTCTATAGTCTAGTCTATGTCTAGTCTATAGTCTAGTCTATAGTCTAGTCTATTAGTCTAGTCTATAGTCTTAGTCTATAGTCTAGTCTATAGTCTAGTCTATAGTCTAGTCTATAGTCTAGTCCTATAAGTCTAAGTCTAGTAGGTCTAGTCTATAGTCTAGTCTATAGTCTAGTCTATAGTCTAGTCTATAGTCTAGTCTATAGTCTAGTCTATAGTCAGTCTATAGTCTAGTCTATAGTCTAGTCTATAGTCTAGTCTATAGTCTAGTCTATAGTCTAGTCATAGTCAGAGTCTATAGTCTAGTCTATAGTCTAGGTCTATAGTCTAGTCTATAGTCTAGTCTATAGTCTAGTCTATAGTCCTAGTCTATAGTCTAGTCTATAGTCTAGTCTATAGTCTAGTCTATAGTCTAGTCTATAGTCTAGTCTAGTCTAGTAGTCTAGTCTATAGTCTAGTCTATAGTCTAGTCTATAGTCTAGTCTATAGGTCTAGTCTATAGTCTAGTCTATAGTCTAGTCTATAGTCTAGTCTATAGTCTAGTCTATAGTCTAGTCTATAGTCTAGTCTATAGTCTAGTCTATAGTCTAGTCTATAGTCTAGTCTATAGTCTAGTCTATAGTCTAGTCTATAGTCTAGTCTATAGTCTAGTCTATAGTCTAGTCTATAGTCTAGTCTATAGTCTAGTCTATAGTCTAGTCTATAGTCTAGTCTATAGTCTAGTCTATAGTCTAGTCTATAGTCTAGTCTATAGTCTAGTCTATAGTCTAGTCTATAGTCTAGTCTATAGTCTAGTCTATAGTCTAGTCTATAGTCTAGTCTATAGTCTAGTCTATAGTCTAGCCTATAGTCTAGTCTATAGTCTAGTCTATAGTCTGGTCTATAGTCTAGTCTATAGTCTAGTCTATAGTCTAGTCTATAGTCTAGTCTATAGTCTAGTCTATAGTCTAGTCTATAGTCTAGTCTATAGGTCTAGTCTATAGTCTAGTCTATAGTCTAGTCTATAGTCTAGTCTATGGTCTAGTCTATAGTCTAGTCTATAGTCTAGCCTATAGTCTAGTCTATAGTCTAGTCTATAGTCTAGTCTATAGTCTAGTCTATAGTCTAGTCTATAGTCTAGTCTATGGTCTAGTCTATAGTCTAGTCTATAGTCTAGCCTATAGTCTAGTCTATAGTCTAGTCTATAGTCTAGTCTATAGTCTAGTCTATAGTCTAGTCTATAGTCTAGTCTATAGTCTAGTCTATAGTCTAGTCTTTAGTCTAGTCTATAGTCTAGTCTATAGTCTAGTCTATAGTCTAGTCTGTAGTCTAGTCTATAGTCTAGTCTATAGTCTAGTCTATGGTCTAGTCTATAGTCTAGTCTATAGTCTAGTCTATGGTCTATTCTATAGTCTAGTCTATAGTCTAGTCTATAGTCTAGTCTATAGTCTAGTCTAGTCTATAGTCTGGTCTATAGTCTAGTCTATAGTCTAGTCTATAGTCTAGTCTATAGTCTGGTCTATAGTCTAGTCTATAGTCTAGTCTATAGTCTAGTCTATAGTCTAGTCTATAGTCTAGTCTATAGTCTAGTCTATGGTCTAGTCTATAGTCTAGTCTATAGTCTAGTCTATGGTCTAGTCTAGTCTAGTCTATAGTCTATAGGTCTAGTCTATAGTCTAGTCTATAGTCTAGTCTATAGTCTAGTCTATAGTCTAGTCTATGGTCTAGTCTATAGTCTAGTCTAGTCTATTAGTAGTCTATAGTCTAGTCTATAGTCTAGTCTATGTCTAGTCTATAGTCTAGTCTATAGTCTAGTCTATAGTCTAGTCTATAGTCTAGTCTATAGTCTAGTCTATAGTCTAGTCTATAGTCTAGTCTATAGTCTAGTCTATAGTTCTAGTCTATAGTCTAGTCTATAGTCTAGTCTATAGTCTAGTCTATAGTCTAGTCTATAGTCTAGTCTATAGTCTAGTCTATAGTCTAGTCTATAGTCTAGTCTATAGTCTAGTCTATAGTCTAGTCTATAGTCTAGTCTATAGTCTAGTCTATAGTCTAGTCTATAGTCTAGTCTATAGTCTAGTCTATAATTAGTCTATAATCTAGTGTTAGTCTAGTCTATAGTCTAGGTCTATAGTCTAGTCTATAGTCTAGTTCTATAGTCTAGTCTATAGTCTAGTCTATAGTCTAGTCTATAGTCTAGTCTATAGTCTAGTCTATAGTCTAGTCTATAGTCTAGTCTATAGTCTAGTCTATAGTCTAGTCTATAGTCTAGTCTATAGTCTAGTCTATAGTCTAGTCTATAGTCTAGTCTATAGTCTAGTCTATAGTCTAGTCTATAGTCTAGTTTATAGGCTAGTCTATAGTCAAGTCTATAGTCTAGTCTATAGTCTAGTCTATAGTCTAGTCTATAGTCTAATCTATAGTCTAGTCTATAGTCTAGTCTATAGTCTAGTCTATAGTCTAGTCTATAGTCTAGTCTATAGTCTAGTCTATAGTCTAGTTTATAGTCTAGTCTATAGTCTAGTCTATAGTCTAGTCTATAGTCTAGTCTATAGTCTAGTCTATAGTCTAATCTATAGTCTAATCTATAGTCTAATCTATAGTCTAGTCTATAGTATGCTCTTTGGTCTAGTTAACAAAGAATCACTATTTCTTTTTTTCAGTATTTTTTATTTTTTTGCATATAAATTGTTATTCATAAAAGTGTTAAAAATGGCGCTAATATTTCGTTGTTCTAGTTGTTGTTTTTCATGCCAGCAACTTATGCAGTTGTTCATAACTTTTATTTTAGCATTTTTTTCTATGCACTTGAATATTTTTTTGAGCACTTGGTTAACAAAAAAAAAAATGCAAAAAAAATTTAACAGCCGCAGTAAAAATATGAACTCTTATATATTCATTATATGAATACTGCAGTAATAAAGTAGTGTGATATGACAAAGATCCTTTAGGTTTTTGGAGGGAGGAGGGGTCTGCTTTACATCTAATGAATATGAATGTGATGGTGATGTAAATAAATAATGTCAAAAATAGTTGAAGTACTATTTAGGTTTAAGGCAAAAAGGGCATAAGTTATAAACTTTATTTACTAAAAATTTAATAAAACAATTAGATTTTACTAGTTTTGATACAAAATAGTTACTTTATTTTTGAAAAAAATAAATAAATAAATACAAATAAATAAGTTTAGTTAATAAATATACTTTTCCTATGTAGACAAACTAAAACAATAGAATAAAAAACTTATGAAGACTTTATAAAAGATGATATTATTGTTTAAAAATCTTTCCCTAGGATCGATTATAGATTTCATACTGATATAACCTAATATTTGACGAATGAAGATAAATAAATAATTGTGACAAAAATCAGTTATCAAGACTACAAGTTAGTTAGTATGGCTAAGTTTAAAGGTCAAATTAAACAACCGAATTTTGATTACAAGCTAAGAGTTCTTGATAAATTTTCACGCTCTCTCTCCCTCTCTCTGTCCCACTCTCCCTCGCTCTTAAAAACATGAAGTTGCTGTGAATTTTAACAACTTTTCTTAAGAAAAGTTTCTCTTGACACAATGTTCTCAAAAAGGAACAACTTTTGGTTAGAAAAGTTGCTCTCAAAACGATAAATTTTCTATAGAAAAGTTGCTCTCAAAATGAACAACTTTTACTTAGAAAAGTTGCACTTAAAACGAACAACATTTGCTTAGAAAAGTTGCTTCCCTGAGAAAAGTTGCTCTAGAAAATTATCAACTTTGCTTAAGAAAAGTTGCTCGGGAAACGATCAACGTTCCCTTTTGAAAGTTGTATTCAAAATGGTTATCAATTCTTTCAAAACATTCGTGATTTCAATTTCATTTATGAAAGAAAACTTGCTCTAAAGAAAACTTTCTTCAATTGTCAGCAACTTAAAAGAATTGCTCTCATTTTTATAAATTCTCTTTATCAAGAAAAGCTTTTTTATAAAAAAAACATTCTGTTGCCTAAATTCACTTAAAATCTCAGACGTACTTTGCCATTTGAAATCTATGATTTATCGACAGACCCAATTATTACAGTCAAACACTATGGAAAACTATAGCCGATGCAAAGGGATAAACATTTTGATTTAATTTTTAGCAACTTGAGTCTAGTTTAATGTTAATGTTTGTGCAACAAAGTTGGATATTTAGATTAAAAAAATATTTTTGATAAAAATTTTAATAAATTAAAACATTCTTTAAAACTACTGAAATCTTCATGAGGGGAATATGTTGATTATATTTCACGAGGCCTTTCGAGTAGTTCTAACACTTTTTTTTGGTAAATCTTAGTTGATTTTTCTTCAAATTCTAAATTTAAGTTTAATCCACATTATAAATTCCTCCTGGTAGTTATCTTTTGATGGCCAACGTTTCACTTCCTTTGGATAAACCATTTTGTAATCAGAAAATGTTCTTAGTTTCCTCGAAATTTTCAATTTTTTCTTTTAAATATTCTTTCGAAGTATTGCTTATTAATCTATGTTAACAACTGCTGGCGATTTTTCCAACAGAACCATTATATAGACTTCTTATTTTTAAAGAAAATTCCCGATATTCGTATTGTTTTAAATGTTTCCTAAGAAATACCAAACGTCATTTGGCTATAAGATTTTATACTCATTTGTGATCGTTTAGTAGATCTACTTTTTCGCAAGGAAACGTTTGTGATCGTTTTGTAGATCAATTTCTCTTATAGAAAAGTTTGTGATCATTAAGTAGATTAACTTGATTTCGTATAGAAAAGTTTGTGATCGTTTTGTAGTTCAGCTTGTCTTCAAATAGAATAGTTGATCGTTTTGTGGATCTATTTTTTCGTATAGAAAACTTTGTCCACGTTTTGTAGATCAACTTTTCCATATAGAAAAGTTTCTGATCGTTTAACTGAACTACCTTTTCGCATGGAAACGTTTGTGATCGTTTTGTAGATCAATTTTTCTTATAGAAAAGTTAATGATCGTTTTGTAGATGTGTGATCATTTTGTAGATTAACTTTTCTTTATAGAAAGTTTTGTGATCATTTTGTAGATCAATTTGTCTGTATAGAAAAGTTGGTGATCATTCTGTATATCTACTTTTTCGCACAGGAAAGAAGTTTGTGATCATTTTGTAGATCAACTTGGCTTAGAGAAGAATGGTTGATCTTTTTGTTGATCTACGACATTCTGTATGGAAAGGTTAGTGATCGCATAGAAGAGTTAGTGATCATATTGTAGATCAACTTGGCTTAGAGCAGAATAGTTGATCGTTTTGTTGATCTACCACTTTCTGTATAGAAATGTTAGTGATCATTTTGTAGATTAACATGGCTTCGTATCGTTTTGTAGATAAACTTTTCTATATAGAAAAGTTTGTGTTCGTTTTGCTGATTAAATTTCTCCTATAGAAAGTGAGTGATAGTTTTATGAAAAAGTTTGTGATCGTTTTGTAGAAAAGTTTGTGATCGTTTTATAGAAAAGTTTGTGATCGTTTTGTAGATCAACCTATTAGTGGAAATTATCCAATATTTGTTTAAAGCAATAAATTGATAATTTCTCAATCTTTAGCGATATCTTTGGATTTGAATCATTATTTCTAAGAAATTGTTTTTGTATTTAAAGAAATCAAATGTAATTTTAATGGATTTAACCTTATTTTGCTACCAACTGTTGTAAGAAGAATTGAAAAGTCGCTGGCATTTCGTGGAAGTTTCCTTTGAAAAAGTTGCTGCCAATTGTTAGAAGTTTTCTTTCGAAAGTTTGCGCGGCCAATCGAAGACAAGTTTGATAAGAAAAATTGCTGGCAATTGTTGGACATTTTCTTTAGAAAGTTGCTGTCAATTGAAGAATGTTTTTTTTAGAGAAGTTGCTGCCAATTTGAAGCAAGATTCGACCATTGGAGGCAAGTTTTCTTTAGAAAAGTTGCTTTCAATCGAATACAAGTTCTATTTAGAAAATTTGCTGCAATTGTTTGAAGTTTTCTTTAACGAAAGTTGCTGTCAATTAGAGGAAAGGTTTATATAGAAAAGTTGCTTTCAATTGAAGACAAGTTATCTTTAGAAAAGTTGCTGCCAATTGGTAGCAATTGTCTTTACAAATGTAGCAATTTCCTTTAGGTAATTGCTGCTAATCGGTAACAATTATCTTTAGAAAAGATGCTGCTTCTTGGTGGAATTTTTTCTTTAGAAAAGTTGCTTCCTATTTATGGCAATTTTAATTATATAAATTGCTGCCAATTGGAGCATATTTTCTTTACAAAAATTGCTGACAATTGGTACGAGTTTTCTTTAAAGAAATTGCTTGCAATGGAAGTTTTCTTAAGATAAGTTGCTGCCATTTCAACTTTAATAAAGTTGCTGCCAACAATAGTAGTTTAGAAAAGTTGCCGCCATTTAGTGGAAGTTTTCTTTAGAAAAGATTTTGACAATTGATGGTAGTTTCCTTTAGAAAATTTGTCATGCTTGAACAAGTTATCTTTAAAAAGTTGCTGCTAGTTGTTGGAAATTTTCTTTGAAACAGTTGCTGGCAATTCAAACAAGTTTCCTTTAGAAAAGAGACATATTTCCTTTTAAAAATGTTATAAAAAATTTGCTTTGATTTCGTTAAAACAAACATTTCAACATTTTCTTTAAACTTTAAATAACCTTTAACCTTTTGTATGGGGTTAAAGGTGTGTTCACTTCTCTTTAACCTTTTCATGTACTAAACAAAACTATATATTATTACAACTATTTATTATTTCATTTTAATTTACAAGAAATATTTCTTCTAACCTTTATAAATCCAAGACGTCGCCAAGCAAACAACCACCAAGCAACGAGTATACGTTTAAGGAAGTCTGTCAGTATACAGTTTTAATAATAATCATAAAATCAAGGAATTGTTGAAAACAATGTTGTCATAAAAAAACTATAAATTTATAGTTTTTTTTTCTATATTTGTAACAGAAATTAACAAAGTATATGTGTGTAATATATCCCTTCCCAAGTACAATATAAAGATAAATGGAAAAGGTCATGGTTAGAAATGGGAACATGAAATGGTAAACTACAAACCAACAGAAATAACTTTGCAAAATGAAAATCATGTTTTTAATGACATAAATTATAATAAAGTAAAACAAAACTATAAAAAACATGTGAAAAAAGAAAACAAATTTTTACATAATAAAATTTGGTTAAAAATAGAAAGGAAAGTTATGTCAGTAATAAAAACTACAAGTTTAAAGGGGATATATAACAATTTTATAAAAAAAAGCAGTAAAAAAATAACAAGTGGTAACACTTAAATACCGCTAGTAAGCAAAGCAGTATGGTAGCACAATAAAGTATGCTGTAAAAAGGATAAGGTGTGAAAACTGTTGACAGTTTAATAGAAAATGTAATATGGCAACATCATTAGTTGAATAGCTGAGAAAGAGTAATATAGAGAGATCAATAAACATAAAACATTTCAAATGCTGTTTTGTGAGTATTTAACAACTTTTTTTTTTTTAACAATTTATTATCATTAAAAATACCTTAAATAACTTTGACTTGTTTTTTTAAGCAACAATGTTGCTTTCATTAAATCATTATTACCGCATTTTTGTATTTTTTGTAACCAGCTCTAATTAATTAATAATGACTTACCTTTTTTCAAATTCCAAAATAAAAATATCCCCATTAAATCCAGAATAAATTAATAAGATGACAAAAGCAAAAACATATTGCGACTTTAAAAAATTTAACACATACCTGCAAATAAACAGAAGAAAATTAAAAAATTAATTAAAATATAATAAATAATATTTATTTTAAATACAAATTTCGCACGATATAAAATGGCGTATTTGGACCTGATTATAAAATAGACTAGAAAGACTAGACTAAACAATAAGCCAGACTATAGACTTAACAATGGAACAGACTATAGACTATAGTCTAGTCTATAGTCTAGTCTATAAGTCTAGTCTATAAGTCTAGTCTATAGTCTAGTCTATAGTCTAGTCTATAAGTCTAGTCTATAAGTCTAGTCTATAGTCTAGTCTATAGTCTAGTCTATAGTCTAGTCTATAGTCTAGTCTATAAGTCTAGTCTATAAGTCTAGTCTATAGTCTAGTCTATAGTCTAGTCTATAGTCTAGCCTATAGTCTATTCTATAGTCTAGTCTACAGTCTAGTCTATAGTCTATTCTAGTCTATAGCCTAGTCTATAGTCTAGTCTATAGTCTAGTCTATAGTCTAGTCTATAGTCTAGTCTATAGTCTAGTCTATAGTCTAGTCTATAGTCTAGTCTATAGTCTAGTCCTATAGTCTAGTCTAGTCTAGTCTAGTTATAGTCTATAGTCTAGTCTAGTTATAGTCTACAGTCCTAGTCTATAGTCTAGTCTATAGTCTAGTCTATAGTCTAGTCTATAGTCTAGTCTATAGTCTAGTCTATAGTCTAGTCTATAGTCTAGTCTATAGTCTAGTCTATAGTCTAGGCTATAGTCTAGTCATAGTCTAGTCTATAGTCTAGTCTATAGTCTAGTCTATAGTCCTAGTATATAGTCCTAGTCTATAGTCTAGTCTATAGTCTAGTCTATAGTCTAGTCTATAGTCTTGTCTATAGTCTAGTCTATAGTCTAGTCTAGTCTATAGTCTAGTCTATAGTCTGTCTATAGTCTTGTCTATAGTCTAGTCTATAGTCTAGTCTATAGTCTAGTCTAAGTCTAGTCTATAGTCTAGTCTATAGTCTAGTCTATAATCTAGTCTATAGTCTAGTCTATAGTCTAGTCTATAGTCTAGTCTATAGTCTAGTCTATAGTCTAGTCTATAGTCTAGTCTATAGTCTAGTCTATAGTCTAGTCTATAGTCTAGTCTATAGTCTAGTCTATAGTCTAGTCTATAGTCTAGTCTATAGTCTAGTCTATAGTCTAGTCTATAGTCTAGTCTATAGTCTAGTCTATAGTCTAGTCTATAGTCTAGTCTATAGTCTAGTCTATAGTCTAGTATATAGTCTAGTATATAGTCTAGTCTATAGTCTAGTCTATAGTCTAGTCTATAGTCTAGTCTATAGTCTAGTCTATAGTCTAGTCTATAGTCTAGTCTATAGTCTAGTCTATAGTCTAGTCTATAATCTAGTCTATAGTCTAGTCTATAGTCTAGTCTATAGTCTAGTCTATAGTCTAGTCTATAGTCTAGTCTATAGTCTAGTCTATAGTCTAGTCTATAGTCTAGTCTATAGTCTAGTCTATAGTCTAGTCTATAGTCTAGTCTATAGTCTAGTCTATAGTCTAGTCTATAGTCTAGTCTATAGTCTAGTCTATAGTCTAGTCTATAGTCTAGTCTATAGTCTAGTCTATAGTCTAGTCTATAGTCTAGTCTATAGTCTAGTCTATAGTCTAGTCTATAGTCTAGTCTATAGTCTAGTCTATAGTCTAGTCTATAGTCTAGTCTATAGTCTAGTCTATAGTCTAGTCTATAGTCTAGTCTATAGTCTAGTCTATAGTCTAGTCTATAGTCTAGTCTATAGTCTAGTCTATAGTCTAGTCTATAGTCTAGTCTATAGTCTAGTCTATAGTCTAGTCTATAGTCTAGTCTATAGCCTAGTCTATAGTCTAGTCTATAGTCTAGTCTATAGTCTAGTCTATAGTCTAGTCTGTAGTCTAGTCTATAGTCTAGTCTATAGTCTAGTCTATAGTCTAGTCTAGTCTATAGTCTAGTCTATAGTCTAGTCTATAGTCTAGTCTATAGTCTAGTCTATAGTCTAGATCTATAGGCTAGTCTATAGTCCTAGTCTATAGTCTAGTCTATAGTCTAGTCTATAGTCCTAGTCTATAGTCTAGTCTATAGTCAGTCTATAGTCTAGTCTATAGTCTAGCCTATAGTCTAGTCTATAGTCTAGTCTATAGTCTAGTCTATAGTCTAGTCATAGTCTAGTCTATAGTCTAGTCTATAGTCTAGTCTATAGTCCTAGTCTATAGTCTAGTCTATAGTCTAGTCTATAGTCCTAGTCTATAGTCTAGTCTATAGTCTAGTCTGTAGTCTAGTCTATAGTCTAGTCTATAGTCTAGTCTATAGTCAGTCTAGAGTCTAGTCTATAGTCTAGTCATAGTCTAGTCTATAGTCTAGTCTATAGGCTAGTCTATATGCTAGTCTATAGTCTAGTCTATAGTCTAGTCTATAGTCTAGTCTATAGTCTAGTCTATAGTCTAGTCTATAGTCTGTCTATAGTCTAGTCTATAGTCTAGTACTATAGTCTAGTCTATAGTCTAGTCTATAGGCTAGTCTAGTCGTCTAGTCTTATAGTCTGTCTATAGTCTAGGCTATAGTCTAGTCTATAGTCTAGTCTATAGTCTAGTCTATAGTCAGTCTATAGGCTAGGCTATAGTCTAGTCTATAGTCTAGTCTATAGTCTAGTCTATAGTCTAGTCTATAGTCTAGTCTATAGTCTAGTCTATAGTCTAGTCTATAGTCTAGTCTATAGTCTAGTCTATAGTCTAGGTCTAGTCTAGTTATGTCTAGTCTATAGTCTAGTCTATAGTCTAGTCTATAGTCTAGTCTATAGTCTAGTCTATAGCTAGTCTATAGTCTAGTCTATAGTCTAGTCTATAGTCTAGTCTATAGTCTAGTCTATAGTCTAGTCCTATAGTCTAGTCTATAGTCTAGTCTATGTCTAGTCTATAGTCTAGTCTATAGTCTAGTCTATAGTCTAGTCTATAGTCTAGTCTCATAGTCTAGTCCTATAGTCTAGTCTATAGTCTAGTCTATAGTCTAGTCTATAGTCTAGTCTATAGCTAGTCTAGTCTAGTCTATAGTCTAGTCTAGTCTGTCTATAGTCTAGTAGTATAGTCTAGTCTAGTCTAGTCTATAGTCTAGTCTATAGTCTAGTCTATAGTCTAGTCTATAGTCTAGTCTAGTAGTCTATAGTCTAGTCTATAGTCTAGTCTATAGTCTAGCTATAGTCTAGTCTATAGTCTAGTCTATAGTCTAGTCTATAGTCTAGTCTATAGTCTAGTCTATAGTCTAGTCTATAGTCTAGTCTATAGTCTAGTCTATAGTCTAGTCTAGTCTAGTCTATAGTCTAGTCTATAGTCTAGTCTATAGTCTAGTCTATAGTCTAGTCTATAGTCTAGGTCTATAATCTAGTCTATAGTCTAGTCTATAGTCTAGTCTATAGCCTTGTCTATAGTCTAGTCTATCGTCTAGTCTATAATCTAGTCTATAATCTAGTCTATAAGTCTAGTCTATAAGTCTAGTCTATAGTCTAGTCTATAGTCTAGTCTATAAGTCTAGTCTATAAGTCTAGTCTATAGTCTAGTCTATAGTCTAGTCTATTGTCTAGTCTATAGTCTAGTCTATAGTCTAGTCTATAGTCTCGTCTATAGTCTAGTCTATAGTCTAGTCTATAGTCTAGTCTATAGTCTCGTCTATAGTCTAGTCTATAGTCTAGTCTATAGTCTAGTCTATAGTCTAGTCTATAGTCTAGTCTATAGTTTAGTCTATAGTCTAGTCAGTAGTCTAGTCTATAGACTAGACTAGCCAATTGGCTAGTCTGCAGAATTTTTGCACAAAATAGTGAATTTTATTTGAATTTAAAAAAAAATATATTAAAACCCAAACTCATTACTTTCTAGTCTTCTTTTCCTTTCCAAAATTACAAAATTCATCATCATTTTTATATTAAATTCAGCAAGAAGTGATGCATGAGACTACAATGGCTGTGTTTATAACCACTTTTATCTTACAATTTAATGTAATTTTAAACTGATAAATAAAAACAATGAAAAAACCCCGAATAATATAACAACAATAATAGCCAATAAAATGAAATTTTATTATTAAACAATAATAACAACAAGTAATAACAAAATGGCAAAACAACAACTACAAATGTAAACAAACAAATTAAGTAGAAGAAAAAAAGTAATGCAATTTATTGCACTGAGAGAAAATTAAGTCAAAATAATAAAAAAAAAATATCTAAATAACAACTAAAAAATGTAAACAAACAAAAGCATTTGCATGAGAGGAGTATAAGAAGAATTTTTAATGCACTGAGAGAAAACATACAGACAAAATGTACACAACTGTTAAGTTTAAAATGAAAAAGAGAGAGATAGAACAAAGAAAATAACAATGGCTAAAATGAAAAGCAAAAGTAAAAATAAACAGTTTAACAGAAAGTAATAATAAATTACAACAAAGATGAACTAAGCAAGATAAGAAAACTAAAACCAATTAAATAATTAAAAATTTACATGAAATGGATATTGAAAGTTAATAAACTAAACTCTTGTTTTATACAAGTTAATTAACAAATTATTGTAAATTTTAAATTAAATTGATATTTTTATTACAAATCAGCTAAATTGATCACTAAATACCAGAAGTAATAGGAAATGTTGTAAATTATTTTCATTCTGACACCATATGGTAGCTTCATTTAATCATACACCAACTTTCCAATAAGAACTATGGCAACATTATGCAAATATGTATATTAAAGGTCATTACTCCTCCTCTCTCTCTCTCTCTCACACTTAAACATAAAACATATATTTTTGTACTAACGACAACAACCAATTAAAAAATATTGTCTATAAAAAAATAACAACAAAATCACAACTGCAAACAAAACTATAACAACAAAAACTAATAAATAAAAACATTATAGACAAAATACTGACGTCAATACATAAAAGATTAAAAGACAATTAAAATCAAACTACAACAACAAGTATTGCTAAAATGTTTGTTGTAACAAAATTACAA